TGCCAGTTCTGGTGTATGTGGCTGGTGCCTTAGCCGCTTGAGCTATAGGCGCCGATCCTCTTTGGAAGTCTGTTAACAGGTTGCGTTGTTGTAATACACAACTGAACTGGCCAGGTAAACATGCAGAGGAAATCGCTCAACTGTCAGACGCCCTCCTGGCTACCTCTGTGGAGTTGGTGCTTCTCACCTCCTTCCACTGACTGAAGGAAGCACCTTCTGGAAGCCACCAACTCACCACAGGAGGCACAGCCTGAAGCAGGCACCAAAAACAATTCAAGTGAAGTTTATCAATTTATCTTTTTTTTTTTTGAGACACAGTCTCAGCCATCCTAAGTAGAATGTTATGGCGTCATATCTCCCAACAGCCTCAAACTATTGGGCTCAAGCTATCCTCTTACCTCAACCTCTCAAGTAACTGGGATTACAGGCACCCACTATAACGCCTGGCTATTTATTTTTTTCTATTCTTAAGAGAGACAGGGTCTTGTTCTTGCTCAGGGTAGTCTCAAACTCCTGACCTCAAGTGATCCACTCACCCCAGCCTCCCAGAGTACTGGGATTACAGGCATTACACACCATGTGCACCCGGCCTATCATTTTATCTTTTAAAAAGATCCAAGCAAAGGCTTGGTGCCTGTAGCTCAGGGGCTGCAGCATCATCCACATACACTGGAGCTGGTGGGTTCGAATCCAGCCCGGGCTTGCCAAACAACAATGACAATTATAACCAAAAAGTAGCTGGGTGAGGCGGCACATGTAGTTCAAAGGAGTGGGGTGCTGGCCTCATATGCCGGAGGTGGCGGGTTCAAACCTGACCCCGGCCAAAAACTGCAAAAAAAAAAAAGCTGGGTGTTGTGGCGGGCACCTGTAGTCCTGAATGCATCAATGGCTATATCTGTACAATGGCAAAATATGTCTTGAAAGGCAAAATACCAGATAATTATTTTTCTTAGTATGAAAATAGACAAGTGATTTTACTAAATTTCATTGAATGGTAAGATTAAAATCAAGCAAGAACAAGCAGGGCTGGGCATGGTGGCAGGCACCTGTGGTCCCACCTACTTGGAAGGCTGAGGTGAGAGGACTGCTTGAGCCCAGGAGGAGTTCAAGTCTGGCCTGGGCAATGTAATGACATCCCATCTCAAAAAACAAAAAAGAAGGGAAGGAAAGAACAAAGTATCACCCTAGACATTTTACATTCTCTTTCAAATGCTGAAAAATAACCTTTTATAGAAATAAAAACGTATGGCTCGGTGCCGGTAGCTCAGTAGATAGGGTGCCGGCCACATACACTGGGGCTGGCGGGTTAGAACCTGGCCCAGGGCTGCTAAACAGCAATGACAACTGCAACAAAAAAATAGCAGGGTGTTGTGCTGGGCACCTGTAGTCCCAGTTACTTGGGAGGCTAAGGCAAGAGAATCACTTAAGTCCAAGAGTTTGAGGTTGCTGTGAGCTGTGATGCTAAAGCACTCTACTGAGGATGACACAATGACACTCTGTCTCAAAAAAAAAAAAAAAAAGAGAAAAAGAAAAAGTAATCTATGTTACAACAGAAATTAATATTAGAACATAAATCAGACTGTTACATACTACTCAAGAGACTCTATCAAATATATAAACCTGAAACACAAAATATTCTATTATTAGTAAGAGTAACATAGCACATCAGAAAAAATGTCATCATCAACATAGCAGGTTACACACTTCTGTGTTCACACCATAGCCCTGTCTAGCTGGTAGCTGGTACATGCTTCCACATTTACTCTTCTCTAGAACCCAATGAGGAAAGTG